GGATTCAGGCTTCTAGGGTTTACAGCGGTTTAGTTTAGTGTGAGTCAACTAGTTGGAAAACACCGGCAGCAGCAATCATATCAATTCCGCTTTGATATGGAACCCTAAACCCTAAACTTTGCACTACGCTGGATCCAAGGAATCAATTGTCCTCTGAACCCTGATTTTCTCTTCCGTTCCAACAAGACTGTTCACCATGGAACTCGTAAATCCTTTTGGCTCTTGCACAACCGAAAGTGCCAGGGCAGAATCCGGATGGTCATGTCCGCATGCTGAATGAACTCTGTGCTATCCCGTCCACTCGTGTTCTTGATCTGCCCCCTGCCAAGCAAATCGCCCAAAGCGGCTTGCAAGCAGGCTTGACGCTCTTCCCTGCTTATCCGAAACCCTATCGAAAACCCTATCTCCAAAACCCACTGTTCCGGAGCGGCCCGGGCCCTCCCGCCGGACCCCAAAATCCTATCGGAAATCCTATCGAAAGCCCTATCGAAAACCCTATCGGCCTGGACCCTATTCTCCCTTTAATTATACGGAGAAATGGATAGGATTTGAGATAGGATTTGGGGTCGGGTTTGGGGTCCCGGGGCGATAGGGTTTTCGATAGGGTTTTGGATAGGATTTCGATAGGATTTCGTGGTTTTGGGGCCTCAAACCTTCCAAAACCACGAAATCCTACCGAAATCCTATCCAAAACCCTATCGGAAACCCTATCGCCCCGGGACCCCAAGCCCGACACCAACTCCTATTTCAAATCCTATCCATTTCTCCTTATAATTAACGGGAGAATAGGGTCCGGGTCGATAGGGTTTTCGATAGGATTTCCGATAGGATTTTGGGGTCCGGCGGGAGGGCCCGGGCCACTCCGGAACAGTGGGTTTTGGAGATAGGGTTTTCGATAGGGTTTCGGATAGGCCCCGTGGAGGGGGTCCCGGCCCGCCGCGAGCGGCCCCACGCGCGGGCCTGACGAGATAGGATTTGCAATAGGGTTTCGGATAGGGCGATCCGAGAGGGGTCAGGCTGGGTGGGGTGGGGTCGGGGGGTGGGGTGGGGTGGGGTGGGGTGGGGTGGCTGGGGTGTGGAGTGGGGGAATCGTGTGCGCAGCAACCAGCATTGTATCCAGCAGACCAGCACATGCCAATTTGGGGGTTTAGCCTGCAAATCAAGCACCCTGGTTTGTAAGAAAGCATATTGAACTAATCGTATCAGACTGTCTATCGGGAAGTCTGTTAGAATGTCTATCGGAAAGTCTATCCCTAGTTTTGGTGTGCATCCAAATCGTAATTAGAACCTCTATCGGAATGTCTATCCCTGGTTTGGGTGTGCATCCAAATCCTATCGTTAAATCCTATCTGAAACCCTATCTTTAACCCTAACGGAAATTATTTGTTGATTTAAATAGCTGTGGCTGGAAACGAACATCATAATTCTACACGGGCATATCAGATTGCCAAATCGAATGTGACCCAGATCGGGATTGAAGACTTGAAGTCCGCGCTTAGGTCTGTGGGCTATGAAGTTTAAGCCAACTGATCTGCACAGCTGATAATTAGATGAGCTGGGTCCTAAGCACGCGCGCCCGCTGTTTGACCAACCGAGCCACCAGCAGTGCTCCCCGCACTCTGGTACACCGTAGTCCATATTTCACGGCGATGCTGGGATGGAAGTTTATGCTTCCACTGCACTTCAGTTTCGTCGTTGCTGTCGTTTCGGCAGCTTGGGGCACGGAGCACTTACAAACCCCAAAGTGCTCAGTCCTCGATTGTGATGATCAAGGTGGTGTAGGACTTCTCCAATCGACTGCTGTCCACGTGAAGCCGCCTAGGCCAGGTTGGGATGACTTGAAGGAAGTGTCCGAAGTGGAGGAAAGTGGTGTGTGGCGTATCCCTCCTTTCGGCAACCGTGCTATGATCATGTGGAAGCACAGGCCCAGATGGCACCGCCCTACCGTTGTCGAGGCCAAATATAAATCACGTGGCCCTGCGCTCGCTGTTCTGCGTTCAGCAGCAAGCCTGGGCGTCATCTTGTCCTCCACAGCCTTTCTTATCCCAGGTTGCGGGCTCGTGCTCTGTGCATTCGCATGCTGCTTTGCTAGACGCCGATCCCCGGCAAGTCCATCCCCGAATGCTTCGGATGGAGGAACGGCGCGTCAGCCCACATCACGCGATGCTGAAGCCGTACAAGCTGGCCTGTGGCCTGCTCGATCGGCGGTGGCCAGGTCAGATTTGGTCACTCTGGTCTGCCTAGTGGACATCCTGGGCAACATCCTTTTGCTCTTCTTGCTCTCTCCTTCTGTCCCGAAGGATTCGGGAAGATTTGCGCTGCCCGGCAACCTGGAGAGAGACAAACTCTTGAGCATGATGTTGGAGACCCTTAGCTCTGCGATCTTCCTGCTTGCTTTTGGCCGTTGGGAGCAGCAGCGACATCTGGTCACATTGTGGCAGACCTTGCAATCCTTACGCTACTTCTTGGTTCGTCGAACCCTTTTTGCAAGCCCATGGATGTTCTTGGGCGTAGCTTTTTTGCTACCGCTAGTCTCGGTGGTTGGCATGGTCTGTGAACTTTCCGTCGACCACCCGTTGCGCTTGCCGCCGTTTCTCCCCAAGAAGATGGATGCTTATGCTGCAGATGGATGGCTCGGGCCTCGCATAAGCTGCCAAATCCAGAGCAAGTACATGCGAGGCTTTGTCACGGCAGTGTGTATGGCTGCTTACAGCACCAAGGTGTTTCTGGTCCTGTACATTTTCTCCTCAGGACCACAACGAGATCTGGAGTATGTTAGCAATCAGGATTTTTCACATCTCGTTTGCATTGCCATCGTGGTGCAGATTGCCTCGTTCCTGCCGAATATCATTGCACAGACGCAGACGGTGCCCTTGAACATGGCGCAATGGTGGTCCCAAGTGGAGTTTCCTCAAGCCTACAGGACAGAGAGAGTGCCGACCTGCGAGACCAAGACAGAAAGCGTCGTATACATGTCTGGTTTTACATGATCATAGAAAGGCTTCCCCAGTTCTGCCTCCATAAGCGTCTACAAGTCTTCCCAACGTCAAAGTCGGCTTCTAAGAGCCCGAGCCCTCGCTTTAGTTCTCTCGAAAGCGAATGAAGCCCAAGAGGACTGGGCCCTTCCAAGCTCCGTGCCTCGCTGGTGAGATGGACGAAGGTTCAGAGCTCCAGGCTCAATCTCTTCTTGTCTCTGCACAAAAATTCTGGCCGGCCGGGTTGGGCCGGCCGGCGGTTTCTTTTCTTTTTCTTTCTTCTTCAAATCTTCTAGAAAAACACATGCGTTTTTGTTAGGATGTAAAGCCTAATCCTGCACCAGGTGTAACCGCGGATGTTGCAGCCCCTCTGGGTGCTCAAGCACGGCGATAAAAGGTTAGCTTGAGCCTGCGATCTTGTGGTGTAAGGCTTATCCGAAACCCTTGCAGTTTTTGAAAAAACAGCCGGTTGTTTTTTTTGCTTTCGTGCCTGGTCTAATTAGAGGTGTCTCACCTTTCCTCGGATCCTTCAGCTCAGGGAACTCCAGCAGTAGTTTGTTGGGGATGAAGTGTCAGGGTAAGAATGGGGAATTTGGGTAGGTCATGCGTCTCCATGTTGACGCAGGCCCGCCTGGCCAGCCACCAATGCCGTTCCATCACCGTGGTGATCCCGGCTTACATGCCCAATGAGGAGGATATTCTCATGGACTCTTTGGCTGCCTACCGCACAGAGCAGTCAAAATACCCCGGAGAATTCCGCTTGATTCTGGTATGGAACTCACCAGATGAGCATCCGGAGATGGAGGAGATGCTGGAACAGCTTCAGACAGAGTGGCCTGAGCTGTCTGTGCACCGGAACAGGCTCTCGACCACTAAATGCGACAACTTGAACATGGCCATAGAGATGCTTGAGACTGACTTTGCTCTGCTGCTTGGTTGCAGCCAACTCACAGTTCCCTCCCTCTCAGTACCGAGGGGAGCTGAGGTTCAATGACATGGACACAATGGTTTCAGCTGCGACTATGTGCCGTGCGTCCCTGCACCTCTTCGAAGAGAGTCTTGGGCAGCTCATTGCCGATCCGTCTTTGGAGTAGGCTGTAAGCTAGTGAGGATTATTGAGCCGGTGTGAAGTGCTCCCGTGTGACACATATGTTCAGAGCACCGAGGAACTTTGATACTGCGCAGTGCTATCTCGTGCACTGCTGGGAGGACTTCGCTGGGCTCCAAGATGAGGGCTACTTTGTGTGCGGCCCCCTCATCACGGCTTATGACTCGGTCTTGTATGTGTTTCAAGAGATCTATGGCAGTTTGAGCCTTCCCTTCTGTAATGGTCGTGGATCGTTCTGGCGAACGAATGTCATCAAGGAAACAGGCTTCGACCATCGGACTCTTGCAGAGGATCATGATGCGATGTACCGGGCCGCAGCTTTCCATGGCTTCAAAGGCGTTCTGGATACCAATATGCTGGCCCAGGAGCGCGTGCCTCCGAGCCTGAGCAGTTTAGTGTCGCAGCGGGTCCGCTGGGAGAGTGGGCAGATGCAGAAGACGCAGGCACTGAGCTGGGTAGTACGCTCCAAACACATCTCACTCTTAAAGAAGATGGTTATCCTTAACACGGATTGGTGTGAGAAGCCTTTTCAGGGGAGCCCCTTCATAGTCTGGCAAGTTCTGGCTGCAATCGTCATGATCGCTCGACCGAACATCTTGAACCCCACGCTGCGGCTTGACATCGCGGGGCTGACAGTGAACCTGCCCGTGATTGTCCTCGGCTTGATCGTGCTCCCCATGTCCCTGAAGTGGGCAACAGCCTTGCTGACGTCACGTTATCGCCCCCGGTGGCTAGCTTGGGTCCTGCAATCCTTCGTGCTTCCCTTTACCTACCATGTGATGCGAGCGACGATTGTGAATTGCAAAACCCTGCACAACTCACTGTGGACGGGGCGGCTGGATTTTGTTTGCACTGCCCGTGATCGGACGCCCAGCAACTCGCCCACTGCAAAGAGCCGTGATGGCTCGCCCACGAAGCTGTCCTTCCACACGTGACTGTGCTCAGAGCCAGAGTCCAATTTTGATAAAGATCCAACAACTGCGACAGAGCAGCCAAAGCTATAGCTTGAACTGCTCTCTGCGCACTTAATGATCTTATAATGCCGGATGAAAAGCGATGACTCGAGCACCGGGCCAGCTTTGTCTGTGATAGCTGTTTGGCATGCACGGCATCGCGTACACACACACACACACAAACACAGATCTGCTCTTGACACAACCTTGAGCGCGGACTGTCCATATGAAGCACAGCTGGCATGCTAAGTCGGCAAGTCATGGCTTTTGAACAGGTGCATGTAGATGATAGATGGTTTTCTTTGGCTGAGGTTACGATGTGAGCGTTCGTTGTTGGATGATGGCAAAGGTTTTGAAGCACGTCGCCTTGAGATATCCAGAGCAGATGAAGGCCCGGTGACCGCAAGAACGGTGGAGCTACAATGCGTACATACATACATACAGAATATATATATATATATATATACATACATACATATATATATATATATCTATATACATGCGTATATATATATATGTATATATAAGTGATTACTACTTTAATGGAATACAGTATAATTAATATTTGTGTCACCTCGCCAGCCAGTTCTGATCAGTCTTGTGTCAGATCCCTGGGAGGTTTTGATCTGTTCCACGGAGGCCTGCTCCGTGCTGACACGAAGAGAAGGGCAGGGGGTCTGAGGTGCTGGTAGCATGGAAGGAGCTGATCGGAGATCTGTTGCTTGTAACTTGGCTTCTAGGCTGATCAGGGGAAGCCTCCCCTGCGCCAGCTGCTGCAAAGCTTGCCGAATCCGCGTCAGCCAGGCTGCGCACTTTCACGCCGAGACTAGGATGATAGGGACAGGCTTGGAGTGTTTACCTCCGGCAGCTGTGCAGATTTTCTGCAGGGACTCATGGTACTCCAGCCACAGATTCAGAAGCTTGAGGATTTGACACCTGACGCATTCTGCCACTGCGACTGGAATTCTGAAGCCAACCGAGACTTCTCGCAGTCCATCCTGCAAGCTCCACAGGCTTCCCGCAGTCTGCCAAGATCCCTGAGCACTTTGCCGTGGCGTCAATGTTGAGTTGCGGCCTTTTGACCAGGTGTTGCCACAAGAGTTGCATGATCCGCGATGAACGTCCTTAGTCTCTGAAGAGGGCATGGTAGAACATCTAGGTTCGCAGACTGAGGCGATCATCAAAGCCCCTGAACGGGGCCTGACAAGAACAGGGTTGTTTCCTGTTCGTTCTTGTCGTCAGTTTCTACGTCGTAAAGTTTCTGTGGCATGGCATAGGGGTCACTTAGCCGGTCTTGTGCTACTTGAAACACGACAAACTCCTCAGGCTTTGCATCGAGACAGGCAGCCGTCTAAATGAGCTCGGGCAGCAAACCGAAGCCCCAACTCGATGCTCTCAATCCCTTCCCTAAACGGCCCGAAACCCTAAAGCTGCGAGAAGCGACACGCTTGAAGCAGAGCGACATACAGGGGAGTCCAATCCCGAAGCCGGGCTTGAGCATCAAATTGCATCGAACAATTGCATTGAACAAAGGCTTGAAAGAGCAGCTAAAACTTGGCAGAAGCCGCTGGGGCCAATCTCAGAACTTGTCGGGAACGCCGAGGTCCGGACTCCACAGGCCAGCACTCGCAGCGCCATGTCCTAGCCGAAAGCAATCACGCTTCCGAGAGCTTACTGTAGGGCGGGTGCCTTTTGCGGACATCGCCTTCGACGTCACCACGGGCCCAGACACTCACAGCCGGCGGTGAGCTGAGCAGGGCCTCGAGAGATCTGCGACACAACGGCGGGCTGTTCAGGTTCCTCGCTCATCGTGTGGTCGTTGGGGCACAGAGTCCCGTGCTGCTGAAGGCCCCTGGAGCAGAGAGAAGGGGGCTGCGCAACGGGCTTGCACTGTTTTTTTTTCACATCTCAATTCCGAGAGAGCTTGCACGAGGAGCTGGAGACCCTGCCCTTGGTGGAGCTGCCGCAGGCACCGTGCAGCTGGCAATCGCAGCATGTCCCCAGCACGCAGCTCGACTTCTAGCAGCTCTGGACTTACGGCGTTGCGTCGCCCCGCGAACCGGCCAGGAAGGGATCGCAGCTGCTGTCTTCAAGGTCGACCGGCGGATCTCCAAAGATGTGTGGAGGCCGTCCAGCACAAGGAGAATCGACAATGAGTCTCACAGTCGTAGCAACTGGCGGTCGCGATGAGTTCTCCACAAGTTATTTTCGTCCCCCTGTCCGTACTGGCGGTCGCGATGAATTCCCCACAAATTATTTCCGTCACCCTGTCCGTTTCTGCTGCCTTGACCTTGACTAGCGGACAAGTAACGACATCTGCTGGTGCTAGGGTGTATCAAGTCAGACGTTCTTTTACACACATTCTTCTGATTCTTTCTTGTTCCCTCCCAAGCAGACCTGGGCAGGGCCGTTCTTCAGTTCTTCTACACTGGAATGGTGTGTCAGCCTCAAACAGTGCGCTACGTTTCCCTGATGCGGCTGAACATGCTAGGACCTGCTAGGACTGAGGCTGTGAAGGTTGGATGTGGACTCAGTAGAGAAGTGATGCAAACGTCTCTCCGTCAAAGGCATTGCCCCTTCATGAAAGATCCTGCCAAGCTGGTGGTGCACCCAGACGTGCATTGTGTCTGGTTGCCGAAAGCCAACGACGTGGAACCCTCAAGACCCATCCCCACCCCACAATCCTTGGAGAGGAGAGGGGTATTGAATTTCGCATCATGATGTCAGCCCATGCGTTATACTTTACATGCTTTCTGTTTTAAAATATGGGCTGAGCAGGTTGAGCTCTTTCGCGCAGCCGCCATCTACAAGCTGCCCAAGGCTCTGTTGGACCTGGCACAAGCTGTCTGGGCCACAGAGTATCACAGACAGAGAACCCCGTTCCGTTCGTTACCGCAGCATGCGCAAGAACTTAAGTTACTGACTCGACCAGTTGCTTTTCATGCAGGTTTAGGCCCTTGTCAATGTCCTTTTGCACCACCTCCAGACAGTAAACATGGCTTGTGCCGTTTGTGATGACGCCAGTATTGCATGCATCTTTTGGCCTTCTTCACCTGCCGCTCAGGCGCTCTTTCCGCTGCTGCCCTCCAGCCCCGGTTTGGCTCTCGACACTTGGCTGAGAAATCAAATGCCAAGGTCCAAGAATCGAAGCATTCATGTAAGCCGCACTGTCAGTGATCTTGGCATGTGCCGCCAACGGAACTTGCACCCTGAACAAACGGGAGGAAGTCTTCTCGATCAGCGCCGGTGCAAGTGGTGAAGGCCCTAGGGCGTAAGCTCCTGCCTCGTGCCACCCATCAGGGCAGCATCAGCTCCACGTGTGCTGTTTGCCACAGGCGTTGACGTGGCGTCGCTGCGCCTAGCTTCCACATTCGTGCTTCTGAGCCTCAGCTGCGAGTATAGTCAGCATAGTGATATATAGTGATCATAGTGTTGATGAAAGGAAGCTTTGTGCTAGCTTGTTGCAGTTGTCGATGTCGATGAGACCAGTTACCAGCATTCCGAGGGGTCATGCCTCGACAGTGTTTGCTGACCTGGCGCCAGAAACTGTGTGTGGGCCACAGCAAGGATGGTGCTGCATTTGTATGCTGGGTTTTAGGCTGAGTGGCATACTTCAGACTTTCACGACCACGAAACACTCAGTCGTGACCCGAACAATGGAATGAACAGATTGTGCGGCGGGTTCGGATGGTGTTGCCTTGTAACTGTAGCTCATGCCACAGAGCATGCAGGCATGCAACATGCGAAACACCGAGCGATCTGTCGGACGGGCACATTGATCTTGCTCATCGAGTGAAGCTACAGTTGCAGAGCCTTGCCACATTCTTGCCTCATTCTGTGCCTCGTGCGTCTCCTCATCCATTGGGACGTGCTAATGATTCATGGCTGTTTAAGGACTCTCGCAGCCGTAGATCGGTAGATCTCTTTTGGATGTGTTGGCAGCACGAAGTACCATTCAGGTCGGGCGTTCTGGCGATGGGCTCAGTCCGGGGTTCTTCTGGTTTGATTTTGGCTGGGCCTCCACTGGGTCACAAAGCTACGATGTTCAGCGTGCATGGAGGGGCCGTGTCACCTCTGGTTGAGTTGTGGCAGCTGCCGCGAGCCGTGCGCTTCAGGAGCGTCTCTTAGCGACGTCTGAGCAAGCGATATTTTCAGCGCAGCAGGAACCGTAAGTCACGGGCCCTGTGTCCCTCAACTTTCCACTAAGAAGCTGGAGACAGGGTCAGCCAATCTCAGCCATGTCATCGCAGGGCCCGAGATGCACCGGATGCCTCGAAGGCAGAACTTGTACACAGAAGGCCCCTGCAAACTTCGGCATCGAGCTTCGAGGTCGTAGTCGCTCCGGGTCGCCATTGATTGATGTAAATACTGGCAGGGGCCGATCAGAGCTCTGAAAGCGTGCCGCCGAGCTCTGATCTGCCCAATGCATTCGCAGTGAGCCCAAGCCCTCAAAGCCTTGGAAGTGCGCAGATCGCCAAAACGGCCCCACGGCCATATCCTCTACTCCGCCAGAAGCTCCATCCGAGAGAATCATCCTAAATCCTCATGAACACGACGTGTTCGAACTCTGCCTGCGCAGCAACCCCTGAGCTATCGAAAGCAATCTTAAGCCCTTGCGCCATCACGCGACTGGGTGCAGAAAGGCCCAGATGGTGGCACGGGCCAGTCACGCCCAATTCGCAGGAGACTGAAAGAAAGAGGTCCCTGAACCTAAGGCACTGAAGGCCCCGAAGCACCGTACGATTGCATAAGGCGCAGGTCTGGCTCATAGCAGGGCTCTGTTTTTGGTCTATGTCATGCGCTGATGTCGCCGGCGCTCCTGCTTTGGTGGCTGCCGTGGCTGCTCAGAGCCGATGCTGCTAATGCTGCACAGCAGGACTCAGAGCAAACAAAGGGACTCAGAAGTTGCTGACTAGATGTTTTGAATCTCCCTTTCCGTTTTAAAAAGGGAAGGGAGCACAGAAGCCATTTTCAAAACGGAGGGAGTCTTTCCCCGAAGCAGGATTTCGGAGATGCTCGTCTTGTGGCCACGGATCTGCAGTTCATGCAGGGCTTTCCTGCGGAAGCTGACGACTCACCAGCCCTGACACCGTACGAGCAGCAGGAGCGGCATGTGGATGGAAGCGGCAATGGTAGCAGAGCTAGTGCAGCTCGAAGGGTCGCTGTGATCGGTCGTGGTGCAGTGGTGACAAGGGAGCGGGAGTGGCAGGGGCGCAGAGGTGAGGTGGTGACAAAGGAGCGGGAGTGGCAGCTGCAAGGGATAGGAGTGCCGACATTGTCGGCATGCTGATCCATGTGGCCAGGAGTGGCCGGGGCCGGCGTGGCAGGGGTGGCGACACCAGGGGACGGTGGAGCGGGCAACAGCCATGTTCAGATTCATGCGATGCCCACTGCGGTGTGATGCAAAGGATAAACAGAGGGACACTGGTTGGCATGAACCAAGGATCTAGCCGGGGAGGTTAAAGCCCTACCAAGCCCCGAGTTAAGCAAGGCACCTTCCATGAGGGTCTGTGTTTTCTTTCGGTGCAAGAGTTTGGTCACATGAGTATGGTTACTCACGGTTTTCCTCTGAGAATCTCACCTTTCAGGTTCGGCGCAACATCCAGTACTTGAAGCAACGTGGCGTCACGGTTGAGCACGGCGATATTGGAAGCATGTTCTGTCTATGTGTTCCGATGCCTTAGTCTACATATTGATCTGAAAGATTAACCTTTCCACTCTAGGCAAGTCAATCAAAGCCAGCACCCTAGAGTGTTGCCTTTCATAATGCTCTGTATTCGTTGCTTGCATACGGGCGAAAGTAGTTTTTGCCAGCTGGCTGACACGCCGCCCGGACACCCTTTTTGGGCCTGTTTCCGTTCTTGCCGTTTCGAGGTTTTGGTCTACAGCGTGCGTTTTCCTCGGGTTTTAGAACATTTCTTCTCTGTTTTGTTTGTTCGCTCTTGCTTTTTTATTGATTTTGCTCGCATTGCGATTTTGCTCTTTTCGGGTACAAAACTCGAGGTTTGCTGTTTTTTAGCGCGTTTTGTGCTGGAAGGGCCGTTTTGTCTGCATTTTTTGCGTGTTATTCGCCGTTTGTTGGTTGCTGTTTCTGTCCTTTCGCAGACTTCGTCGTTTCGCCAGAGCATCCATGGGCCAACCATGATAACGTCCACACAGACTCCGTCCGTTCCCAAGCCAAAAATGCCGTAAATTACCGTACTTTCGGGTTTTGGGAATATGCCATAACGCAGGGCGGCAGGTCAGCCACCTACCTAGTTTTTCGATAATTTGATTAGCACAAAAGTCGCAGAGCCCTTACCTAAACCGTGAACCCTGGGCAGAGTCAGGTTCAGGAAGGATGGAACCTTTTCGACGCCTATGAAACTTGGAAAGCCAGATTTGGCTTGCTGCGACATCCAGGCGTGATCCTCTTGGTGGGACTCTGGATCTCAAATTCGGAATGTTTTTAACAGGTGCAATAATGGTGTAAGTGTAAGTTGCGAGCTTAGGTTTTCGAAAGAAATGCCTCTGCCGAAATTCGGATCGCTTAGTCTCAAAGTGAACGGGACATGTTTCTCATCCATCCATCAATCCATCCATCCACATAGGTACATAAATGCTACAAACATTCATACATGCAGTGTATACATATCCTACCTTCCGGGAGGAGGCATGCAGTATTATGGAGCTGTCGTGGAGATCCGGTAAGGGACATTGTAGGGATTATACAGTGTTCCCGTGCTCTCGGAGACTGTTCTTAGAAGTGCTTATTATAGCAAAGGTGTGAAGAAGGCATACCTATGCGAGTCAGCATGAAGCAGAAATTTTCTTCGTCGAATCGCCACTACTCGCAATAGAGTCCTCGCCTCGCAAAGGAGTCTGGAACCACAATGTCGATGAGCAGGGTGCCATTACAGAGGGCACGCTTTCCGGCCGTCAGTTTTTGGGGCTTGCCATGGAAGCGTTGAAAGCGCAGTTTCCGGATGCCACCATTCTCGCTGTGAACTCCATCCGTCATTTGAATGTAACGATGGGTCCCATGGGATATGTGGGCTATTCCCTGAAGCAAGGCCACGGTATTGACATGCTCCGGTATCCACGTGCCGTTCCCAGCAGAGAGCCCCTGGGGCTTGGCGTGGTGGTATCCGGTCAAACCTCAGGCCTTCATGACTTCCTCGCCCCAGGATTACCAGAATCAGGTGCCCAATATGCATTCGACATTATGGCTTCTCTGCAAGCCGCACTATCTGCGGGCCAGCGGATTCTACGGGGGCAAATCGGTTCCAGTTCTTCGTTGCTTTCTTGAAGTACTTGGACGAACACTCTTGGAAGCCCGGGTCTCACCCTTCGAGCCTCGGAGAGACTTCGCCTACGCCGCTGCCAACCAGGGTGTCTTGTGTCCCTTTCCATCAGGCTGGGGCATCGCTTGCGCAAGCGGAGTGCAAGGAGGAAATGGTCCCTTCGCCTCCTTTCACTTTTCCTGAGCTCGTGGAAGCTACAGGCTCCCCATCAGCTGATACAGTCCTAACTTGGCTGGATGCCATACCATCGGGCGTTCTGCAGCACCAACAGAATCTTTCGTGCGAAGTGCTGCGGTATGAGTTGCGCGGACTGAGCACTTGAAGGCTTCGATTCCCGAATGCGCAGCAGAAGGGTTCCCGTTTTAAAGGTTGGGGTCCAGGGGTCCAATAGTTGACCAGGGATCGTTGTTAAAGCGTTCGCGAAGCGTTCGCAAGTTTTCGCAAGGGTTCGCGCGTGTCGCGGGTGTGTCGCGCCCGTCTCCCAGCCCCCGGCCCCCCCCGGCTTTGATCGCCGGCCCCCAGCCCTCAGAGTTCCGGCCCCCCACGCAGAGCTCCCACTCCCCACCAGCCCCCAGTGCCCCCCAGCCCCCAGCCCCCAGCCCCCAGCCCCCAGCCCCCAGCCCCCAGCCCCCAGCCCCCAAACGCCCCGACCCCCAGCCCCACCGGTGTTCTGGATCCGTCAAAACTCCACTGAACTCCACACCCGGCACGCGTCCAGGTGT